AGAGCATCCACACAGGCATCAGGGCACCAGGCCAGCATTGCTGCCAAACACTGGGAGTAAGCCTCCATGAGGGACCGAGTGGCAGCACAAGACATCCAGAGCTGGAGCAGCTCATTGAGGCTGGAGGAGTGAGGGGCCACCCTGCGGCCAGCGTGTTTGCTGCTCAGTTGGCCAAGTAGGTCCACAGCCCAGGTGGACACGAGAGGGGCCCAGGCTCTGGGGTTCAGACGGATGAACTCTGACAGCACACCGTGAACCTCCTACAGACATGAGAAATAATAAACACAAATTTCCAATAAATCAGAGGTTCTACAATACAAAGACTAAATAAAAAAAACTTTCAATATGTTCATCATTTAATGATTTTCAAGATAGGTGTTTTAGAAAGTCACACCTGTATGATGTCCTCCAGGTTGGAGCTGACCCCGGAGCTGGCATTACCCTCCGTCTCCAGATTGTGTAGAAAGGCAGACACATGCTCATCATATACGCCCCTCAGATGCTCCAGCACCGCACCTCGACAGGCCGGGACCGAGCGCAGCAGCCGCACAGCGCAGCGGGCATGTTCCCGGACGCTGAGCTTCCGTCCCTGAACTGTGTCAACGCCGCTGATGAAGGACTTGATCTCCTGAGACAGTTCCTGGGCGCTGGAGGAGGAGAAGGAAAAGTTTAGCATCCACAAGCTAAAAATGTTGAGGAGCAGGAATGAATAAAGAGGTGTTTCCCCATATATGTGTGAGAAGATTCTGCCAGACTACCATTAAAAATCTATTTAAATGTTGCTATAAGACATTTCTGAGCTGTGACTAATGATTTTTTGTGTTGTCGAATAATTTAGAGACCTTCTTCTTGATTAATCCTTTAATCTGAAATGGGACAAAAAGTAGTGAATAAAACCAAGTACGAAATGCTTTAGACTGCCATCACGTTTCAACTACATCTTGAGATTATTTTCAGAAAATTGCGCAAAATATTATGTGCCTTGACTGACTAATCATTTAGTCTATATAGTGTAATGTTTAAGAAAGTTTAAATATATATTTACAATACAGTTTTGCAATTTCCTAAACTTTAATACAAGGTTCAACAGATCAAACCCCACATTATTTTCATCAAAACTGATATGATGAAATGTGTGAATGTACACTTTCACATTACTTTTTTCAATTATTATTATTTATTATTATTATTTAATTACCAAAAAACAAAAAAAATACCAACACTTTTGAAACAATTTTGCTTAGTGAATGAATAATTTTATCTCAACAAAGAATATTTTTAAAGAATGTATTACTTGCTTCAATTGAGTGTAAAGTCAACATGTCCAACATTAGTTGGATACTGCTTTACAGATATTTGCTTTGCTCCAGCTGATATCATTTGAAAGTGTTTTGGGTGTTGGTCAGGACACAAAACTACTGTAAAAAAATATATTTCAGGTTCTAACTGCCTGTCATTTGTCTGTAGTCTTTAACACTATAACCCGGCTGTTTGTGGTCAAAGCACTGACTCCCAACACGAGCTGCCTGTTTAGAATAACAGCCTAGTACCACACTAACTTTATCTTCTGTCTAGTCAACTTCAACACATTGCAGAGAGCCTGTGGTGGCTGAGTTTCCAGACTAAATGTAGTTTGTGTGTTGCGCTCCGCCGCCTCCTCCCGCTGCACTCACCTCAGAGCAGCCTGCGCTGTGTGACTGTGGCTCTGCATCGCTTTCAGCGGACTCCCGTCAAAAACCACAGACATCGCTTGGTCGTTTAACATTAAAGCGTCACATCAAATCCACCCCTCGGCTGTGGAGCTTCGACGTGAGCGATTATTACAGCTTTTTGTTATTTTCTCAGTCAATTTTCAGGACAAAATACAACCAAAGGGCGCTCCAAAGGCGGAAGGTGGGACTTCTTCGCCGTTTTAAAAAAGGAAACCCGACGCACACTGTTGACGTCACTGGCGACACCTAGTGGTTACAACTGACATTATTATTATTATTATTATTATTATTATTATTATTATTATTATTATTATTAGTGTTGTTGTTGTTATTGTACTTTTTATGAGGGCTTTGAGTGACAAAGGAAAAACAAGAGGACACAACAGATGAACAATGCAAACCACAATAAGTCAGCAAACTTCAAGGAACTCCTGGTGAGCAAAAATACTTTCCAGAAGAGAAATACGAGTGGCATTTTGGAAATAAAGTCTAATATTAAAATTACATTACATTAGATTTAACTTCAACATTATTGCCATCGAACAGAGTACAGTAGCTTGGACAACAAAATGCAGTTTAGCATCTGACCAGAAAAGCCAAGGAAGCAGTAAAAGTTCAGCACAATGTAAAATGTCTGAGTAGATTACCTTTAATGGCAGTATGATTGTGTTAGGATATATACAGTACAAACAGTACATGTGAATAGGCCTGAGATATGAATATCTAAGATGTATGGTAATAAATATGGTATATGCAGTGTGAATACATCCAGTGTGATACAATAATCTGTTTATTAGCACCGTAGCAGCTAGAAGATCCCCGGTTTGCATCCTGACCTGAGCCTGGGATCTTTCTGCGTGGAGTTTGCATGTTCTCCCCATGTACCTTGGGCTCTCTCTGGGTTCTTCCACCTTCCTCCCACACAGTCCAAAAACATGCTGAGGTTAGCTAGTGATTCTAAATTGTCCGTAGGTGTGAATGTGAGTGTTCTTGTTTGTCTCTCTGTGTAGCCCTGTGATACACTAGTGACCTGTCCAGGGTGTCCTCTGCCTTCACCCTGAGTCAGTTAAGTGGTGTATAGATAATGGATGGATGGATGGATGGATGGATGGATGGATGGATGGATGGCCTCTCCTCTTCCTTTTGCCTCAGTTTAGGGTGCACAACTCCTAACATTAGCCTCTCTTCCTATCCCCTCACCACCACTCCCATACCTCACCTTAATTCACCAACACCCCTCAATACTGAACTGACGTGCATAGAAACAAACCACACTAAAATTAACAAAAATGACAATTTCTTTCTTTCTTTCTTTCTTTCTTTCTTTCTTTCTTTCTTTCTTTCTTTCTTTCTTTCTTTCTTTTTTATTTTTTTGCAAGTTGTCCTCCTATTTATTTAGGGAGCTTTCATTTTTCTTATCAGAATACTGAAATAGAAGGATTTTTTTCTGTTTCAGATTTTTAGTTAGGATTTTGTTTATTTAATGAGCGATTGTTTATAGGATATTTTTTATGTTTGATTCTGATTTGAGTTGTAAATAACCTAATTTAAATTTAAAAAAAAAAATGGATTAAAGGTTCTTTTTTGTGGTTTTGTGGAAGTTAAATTATCTAGGCTTGTCCTCTAAATAGTAATAGTTTAAAGTAGTATAAAGTGAAAGGTGGAGAACAGTCTTTATTCCTGCCTCAGTTTAAATAATTTGAATATTACCTCTACGATACAAAATTATTTCTCCTAAAATGTTTCAGAAGAAGCTTGACTGAACCCCAACCATCTGTGGGGTAAGTCACAAGATAACATAATGGGACTTTGTGACAAATAATCAGTGATCTTGACAACAATATTTCAAATTTATATAGAAAGTAGAAGTAAGAATAACACTTAAAAACAGCAATGGATCAGTTCACCTGTTATTCTCATCATGTATTAAAACCCTCAAAAAATTATGATATAGTTGATCCTGATCAAAGGGTTGGTCACCCAAATTACTACAGAATAAAATTCATAAAAACAAGTATTTCTAAGGCACACCGTTGATTATAACTGTTTAAATGACCAAAAACACAGTTCAAAAACTATTTGTCTAGCTACCCTACACTTACAGTGATATTAATGTAGAACATGGGCTGAGCACAGAAATAAAGTAGAATATCCTGACTTGAAGTGTCTCAGATTTTATATTAGGTTTACTTTGAAATAATTTTAAAATGGTGCAGTTGTTAGGTTTCAAAAAGACTCTAACTTGCCAGAACACATTTATTAGTGACATTTAGGTGCTAGACCATCAACAGGCGAATGGTTTGCTACAAAGAGAAGCGGCTGCAGCTCCACCAATGAACATACCACACTCATAATAGGAAGTCATGACTTACAAAAACATAACTCCATCGAACAACAACATTCAGTAACATACAGAACATATGAAATATATATATTGCAAAAACTGTCTATATAGAATGGGTAAAATCCTGGGGTATAAATCCTTAAAACTCACAAGAGCCTACATGAATACGTTCCTTCCTCTCATGTGCACAAAAATTGCTGGCAATTGTCAGGTTAAAATCATAGTTAGACTGCTGGGCTGTGTTAAGCCCTCAGTGTGTCAAGATCCTACCAAGGCCTCTGCAACTGGCTGAAACACATGTAGTGTAATAATCATGCAATGAATTTTACTTTCCTGAAAGTCGGATTATTTATAAAGGTGTGGTTGAAACTGATAAAAATGTTTTGTAAGCTGCATTTTGAGGTGTGGTTGAATTCTATGTATTATGCTGAGGGGCGTGTCGAGCCTATTTATATCAGTGGGTACGTGCAAAAGAGGCTTACAGCAACACCTTTCAGTTTCATGTTTCTACTATAGATTAGATTAGAACAACTGGTGTAAATAATTACAATACAAATAATAAAGATAAGAAGTATCATGTAATCCATATGCATATGAGTTGCTGGACATGTAATCTGTTTTTACTGTTCAACTTGTTTGTGTGCCGCCTCTGGACCAGGTCGCAAAATAAAGGTTGAAAAAAAAAAAAAATAATAATAATTGTTAATAATTATATTATTATTAGAAATACTACTACTACTACTACTACTACTAATAATAATAATAATAATAATCATCATCATCATCATCAACATCATCATCATAATAATAATAATAATGTAATTGTTATGCATTTTATCATCGTTATTATTGTTGTTGTAAATGATAACATCGATAGAATACTAAACACTAAGAAGTAGAAATAGAAGAAGAAGAAAAGGAAACGGAATCAGTTAGTGGTTGGTGCTTTTATTGTGAGTGTCACGTTGTGCGGCTAAAAGCAGCAACAATCAGCTGATCTCTCACTCGCAGCTTTTCTTTCATTTCGGCTCTTTGCTGGCGTCTCTTCCCATAAAACGCGGTGTGGACATTAAAATAAAAGGTAAGAAATAAACCCGATCATCTGCATGAAATGAAGTTTGAAGGGCTTTTTAAAATTACTTTCCTTTCTGACGCTTCGGAGTTTAATGGCTGATGTTAGCTTAGTAACCGGCGGCGCGTCAAGGTGTGTGATGTAAACAGAGCAGCTGAAGCTAACAGTAGCTAGCTTACCGAGGCTGCTTTGTAGTGGCTTTAATAAAAATCCTCATTTATTCTTCAGATATTTTAACCTGAAGTGCTCCATATAACCTCAGTTTTTTGAGTACATCAGTCCTGCTTTATCTCTCGCCTACATGAAGGCTTCCAGTTCCGCAGTTTGTGCTGCTGTTGAACTGTATTGTGTTGTACTGAAGAGTGTTTATATTATGTCCATCCTGTTTACATCAATGCCTAAAGCTTAAATACAGCAACACTTGAGTATATTTCAGTACAGTTCAGCAGCACCACAAACTGTTTTTTTTTCTCCAGAAAAGGTTTTCAAGCTGACATAACACATCAGTGCAACAATTACAGCTTTAGACAGATGGAGGATTTCTTGTAGGACTTTTGCATTAGTTGTAAAGAACACAGTGTGTGCTGATGTTGGAGTGTTCTATTGAACAATGGATTTATTTTAGAACTGTTTTGATGAATGCATTACCTGCAGTCATCACATTATATGAACGGCATGTCAGAATGATAAAATACACAGATGTGAAAATGTAATATATTCTTACAAAAGTGTGCGTTAATGGATTGGTATGGCTTAGGTTAACACATCAGCCAGGAACAAACACTAACTCTGTGTTTCCTGTTGCGCACTAAGCTGTGATTATTTGTTTCTGCAGGTTTGGAGGTTTGCAGACGAAGGAAACGCTGACATGGCTCCAACGCTGGTTAGAAAAATTACCACTGATTGTTTTTGTCTGGTCTGGTATTGCAGTTGTGTGTCATTATGCAATATTTAGACAATATTTATTTGAATCATTTAGTTTTATTTGCTTTGATTTTAGTGTACACATCTTATCTTAACCCAGGTCAGTCTGGTCGGGTCACATGTCCTGCAGTTGTTTGCGAAACACAGTCTGTTGCGAATCTAACATTTTTTTCTGTCTTGTAATCCAAGTATGATGAGAAACCCGAGCCAGGGGACTTGATTGAAATCTTCCGTGGCTCCTATCAGCACTGGGCTGTTTACGTTGGTGATGGCTTCGTTGTTCACTTGGCACCACCCTGTAAGTCTCCCCACACCATTCGCTGGACTCCTACTCCCACATCCTAAGCAGTCTGGAACAAAAAGCAGCTAATCTGATTGTGACATTTAGTTTCTCAAAATAGAATATGAACTAAGATCATTTGTTCAGTTAAAATGATTCACAGACCACTCGAAGACAAAAGGAAGAGTTCATTTGCAAAAACAGATAACTCCATTTTTGTAGATTTTCAGAAAACATATATTTTTGTTGTTTTCTTGAGATAATATCAATCGAAATGAAGTGGATTTGACTCAGTAGAAATGACATGACAAAAATAGAGATAACTGCAGTTTGATTGATATTGTCTCAGGTAGACGATGGAAAAGTGGGTTTTCTGAAGGTTTGTGAAGATGGAGTTATCTGTTTTTGCAGACGACCTCTTCAAATGTTCCAATGTTCATCATATAACCCCCTAACAAATGATTCTGTTATATGTCTTGGCTATAGCTGAGGTCGCGGGTGCAGGTGCCAACAGTATGATGTCTGTCCTGGCTGAGAAGGCCATTGTGAAAAAAGAGGAGCTGTGGGACGTGGTGGGAACCGACAAGTGGACAATCAACAACGGCCTGGACAAGAAGTACACTCCCCGCCCTGCTCGTGTTATTGTGAGGGAGGCCTGTGCGCGGGTGGGCACAGAGCTACCCTACTGCGTTTTCAGGGGAAACTGTGAGCACTTTGTGAACGAGCTTCGCTACGGCAAGGCCGAGTCCCGGCAGGTAGGTCGAACCACGCTAGGTTATCACATGCATTTTTGGGGGTTGGGGTGAACAACATAGACGGGGTGCCTGATTTAGATGTAGCTGTTGGAGGCTGGCTTTTATAAGTGCGTGATGAATTAAGTTTATTTACACAACAAAACTTCAAGACTTTTTTATATGTCACATGCTGGTACAATATGTACCGTGGAATGCCAAGTGACTGTTCTCAAGGTTGTGCAATAACAAAAAGACATTATAAAAAGAACGATTATTTTTCAAAAACTATAGGAAATTTGACAAAAAAGTCACAATGTCATAAATATTAAGAAGGGAGAGATTTTAGAGACCTTAATGCTGAACGTAATTCAGAATGGTGCTTGATGCCAAAACCTAAGTGGAGTGTAAAATATATAAATAAGACAATTGTATTTAAAATAAACATTGTTTTTAATTAATTAAAGAAAGAAAGACAATAAAGTGGGTATCAATCATAGCAGTACAACATACAGGAGAAAATGCTTCTCTGCTCCTAACAGACATGTTTCACAATTCCAAACTGAAGGAGTGTGGCTCATACAAAAAAGCTTTCATATTCATTTGAAGATTGTGCTTCAGTATGATGCTACCCCAGAACTTCATCTTGAATAATGTAAATAATTGTACATGTGGTGTTTGATGTGTGGAATACCACAATAACATATATATTAAGATTAGAGGCAGCAGATTCCTCTGATACATACACTTGTGGATAAAACACTGTGAACATATTGTAAATATACTACAATAATGAACATAGTTTAAAAAACTGTGGATCTCTACAGGCATTTTTGACAGAGTAGCAAACATTAATGAAAAATATGGCTTCAGCTTTCTGCAATAGAAGGATACTGCAAAAGAGGCCAAGCAGGAGCAAACATCACAACGTCATCACAGTGTTATAAATGTAATACTGAAACCCATCCTCTGAAGACCTGAAGCCAATCGATGCCTTTTTAACTTTGTTTTAGACATCAGGTTGTGAATGGCAGAGGACTTTCTACAGCTCAGTCAGAACAAAACTGAAGCCTTAGTGTTCGGCACAGAGACATTCATTGTGAAACTGAAAGCAAAGTCATGTTGGCACAAGTGAAAAACAAGTCATCCATCTCTCAGATCTCACATTGCAAACATAAGAATGCAATTTATCACTTGTGGAACATTACCAGAGTGGAACAGTTTCTCACAGGCCAGTGCAGAGACACTAGTGAACGCTTTTATTACCTGCAGGATTTATTGTTGTCCTATCTGGTCTCCCCAAGTAAGAAATGATCTCAACTGCATTTGCTTCAAAACTCAGCAGCGTGTGTGTTGACTAAGACCAGGAGAAGAGCACACATTACACCAACTGTAGAGCATCTGCACTGTATACTGACTGCTGTAGAATTGATGTGAAGCTCCTGTTGTTGATTTATAAAGCTCTTAATGTTTTTGGTCTTTTAAATAAACTGAGAGTCAAAACCCTCAGCCAGGTCTTTTGTTGTTATGGTCCACATTTCTGGAGGGAAGCAGAGCATGTTGATTTTTAAAAAAACGCAAACCCGACCTGCGTTGCATAAGCAAGCGACCCTTTGAGTCTGCTTTTAGTTGATTTAAAAAGAATTTTTAAAATGGTTTGTTCAGTTATTTATACTTAGTCATAGTCTAGTTTATTTGTCTTTTTATGACACCATTTAGATTTATTTGTTTTTTTTCTTATCCTGCTTCTGGTGTTCCCTCATTTAATTTATTTCTGTATTTATAATCATCAGTTCCTCAGGCCCTGTATTTATTGATCCGTTTATGTATAAAATAATTGTTTATAGTAGTGTATTGTTAGATTTTCTTTGTTGCTTGTTTGATTAATTTGAACAAATTGAAGACTCCACATAAGGTAGTTCCATGGCAACTCTAAAATAGGAGGCCTCATTTTAAAGGGAGCCAAACTGTACATTGCTGCACACACATGATAAGAGTTATTCCACCCCAGATCTTTTGATATACATCTGTGACTGTGACTTGGGTTCATGTGTTTTGATCTCGTTGGTATTTTCCTCCACTCTGACTTTATAAATGCCCTTTCAGCCACTGCAGAACAGTTGTGTATCACATATTTTAATGTCAAAATTCTGTTTACTGACATTCTAATGTTTACAGATGAAACTATATCAAATACCTTCAGGAATGACTACAGTGTGGATGTTTTTCCATCATTGTAGCTGGTGTTTTCACAGTCCTCCAACTATATAACAAGATGGAGACATGAACTGTGTGTTTGATTTACCAAGTGTAAGAAAATAAAAAGCCTAAAATGGAATCATATACACATTGAGGAAGCAGTTAAACTATAGTGCCACTTAGAACAGACTCCATAGTGACCGCTTTTGTCTGCCCATTATGTTACAATATAAAATGGAGGAATGTTGTACCAACAATAAGATGAAAATGTTCTAAAACACGAGTTGAGATTATTTTGAAAGAGGTTTTGAATGACGTCCCTGCTCACCAGCGAACATCTGTTTGTTGCCCCTGCAGGTGCGTAAAGCGGGAGAAGCCGCCGTGGTTGCTGGCGTCGTGGGTCTGGGTGTCTTCGCTCTGGCCAGCATTCTGTTTGGAAGCAGCAAAAAAGAGAACAAAAACACAGAGTGATGTTGTTCTCTTGGTCACATCTGTAGGGGCTTGATTAACCAGATCACCAGCGAAGTCTAACCGGCACTTATCGTAATCAGCCACAGATAACACTGCCTATTTTAGGTGAAAAATAATAGTTAGTCATCAGGTTGATTTCTATCCTATATACTCAACTTCACCTCTGTCAGCGCCTCCTACTTGACTTGGTTTAAAGAACAATGTAAGGCTGGCTGCTTTGGGATCAAGGCCCTCTATCTTTTAATTGCCTTCAAAAATTTATGCTCCAAGCACAATTTCAACCAACAGTGTTTACACTTGTTGAAGTGCCAACATGAAGTATGCTTAAATGTTTTCATATGGTATTCTGAAGATTTCTGTACATATATTTTGGATTATGACAAATGTAAAGGGTGTCTTTTATGTGTAACTTTACATAATGAATAATAATTTAAAAATGGTTATATGGTAGATATAAGCTACTTCAATTAAATATATTGGGATCTGAGGTTACAATTAGCCATTACCAAACAAACTAATAATTACCTAAAATAAGCTTGTACGATGAAGTGTTTCAACATCGGACAGAACGGTCATGTTACCACAGTACTCTGAAGTATTTGTAACAATTTTGAATCAAGATTAATTTGTCAGTATCTTGATGGTAATGTTGCTTTTTAACAATCCTTTGAAATTAAAAAGAAAATAAAAAAGTTTAATTGTCTACTGAGAGTGTTTTTGTCGATCTGCATGGTGACAAGAAGACATTCATAAAACATTCACACCCATATTATGGTGGTTTTGTTGATTTTACACTAAAGTAATATTCCTAGGCCAACAAGATGAGATTTAAAATACCGAGCGCATTTTGTCTTCAGGAGGTAAGAAGTAAGTTTATGTCCTGCTGCTATATCTGATGGACACATGATGGCAGCACTGCAATTTTTTAAAATCACATTAGTTGCCTTTCGACCTGACTAATCCCTGACAGCAGAGTTTTGACTGTATATCTCAAATGATATGTCCACATGAAATGTGGATTAAGTACAATGTTTTCTAGTAGTTTAATCCAGACTCCAACTAGTTTGATTAAGCTACTAACTGGAACACATTTGTATTCAGTGTTTTAGAACTGTTGAGGTCAGTCTAGATCTCCCATCCAACTACTACAGTCATCTATCTGATCGTCTCCATGCCACACCGCACTGAGGAAGTAAAAGCCAAAGTCAAGTATTGAGTTTTAAAATGAACATATTTTTCCCAGGTTTCATTTCTGTATTGTAAATCCTTTTTTGGATTTATCTTGGGAAATGTTTTCATATTTTGAGATCCTGGATTTCAGACTTTCACAAGCTATAAGCCATATTCATTAAAATCAGAATAAAAAGGCTTAAAATATGTCACATTATGTGTAATGACTGTAGAATATATTGAATTTTCACTTAAATAAAAAATGTAAAATAGTAAACTTTTTCACATTGTTCTATTTTTTTGAGATGCACGAGAATATCTGACTACCAGTCATATTGTAGTCAGACTTCTAATTTTATCTGTTGCACAAAGTTGTTTTGCTCTTCATCAGAACTGATTTGCTATGAATTAATGATGGCTGTTTTCCTCAACCATATTTAACAGACACAAGGATATTTTACGGCGAAAATTCAGAGTTTCAACTCCAAAAAAGAGAAATAAAGAAATAAACAAATCTGTTGCACCAATTTCCAGCAAATTTTGTGAGCATGGTCTTTTTTGTGTAACTTTACATAATTAAGAATCATTTTAAATGGTTGCTCACTGTTACTTATGAAGAAATATTAGCTACTTGAATCAAATGTAATTTAATCTGAAGTCAAACTTAGCTAACACCTAATAAGCTAATAAATACCCATATCTAAATAAGCTCATGATGAAGTGTTTCTACATCTGACAGAAAGGTCATGTTATACCATTCCTCTGATATTTACTTGTTTGTAAAGATTTAAAAAAAAAAAGAATAATTCATGTGAATCCTAGCAGTACTTTTTCTTTCAAGAAGTGCTCCCTTCAGTATCAATCCAACTTAAAAACAATACACTACAAGCAAACATCCTGATTTTAAAAGTTTGTGCATGATATAGGTTACACACATTTGTAGGATCATGTATATTGTGGCAATCATGAGTTTGTAATGATGGACTCAATGAAACACACGTATCAGGCATTTTGTATAGATAGATAGATAGATAGATAGATAGATAGATAGATAGATAGATAGATAGATAGATAGATAGATAGATAGATAGATAGATAGATAGTTCTGCTCATTCAAATTTAAAGTGTATTTTTGTTTGTGTACTGTTATCTAAAGTATTGCTGTAATTAAAGTGAACCTGGTTGATAAGGTTCAGAGTAGAAAC